GTGTGTGTGTGTGTGTGTGTGTGTGTGTGTGTGTGTGTGTGTGTGTGTGTGTGTGTGTGTGTGTGTGTGTGTGTGTGTGTGTGTGTGTGTGTGTGTGTGTGTGTTTGTGTCAAAAACGGCGTGCAGCGCATGGCACATGGCACGTGGGGTGGTGTCGACGTGATATGGTGCCACGCATGCAACGTCACAGTAACAGGATACACACACGCACACTCACTCACTCACACTCACACTCACACACGCACACATTACCATTGGCTGCGGCAGAGTGGATGATGTACTCTCCATCCTTGGCGTCGGTGCCCAGCGCCGCTTTCCAAGCCTGGCACGTCTTCATGGTTGGTTTCACCACGTTGCACTCATCGCCGCTCCAGCCAGGGTCACACTCGCATCTAAGATGTTGGTGGATGACGCGTACAAGGTAAGTCCGTTCCCGCGTGTCCATACACCAGCGTGTATTCACGGGGCTGTGCACGCAATCACGTACACCCACACCCACACACACACACACACACACACACACACACACACACACACACACACACACACACACACACACACACACACACACACACACACACACACACACACACACACACACACACACACACACATACATGCACACATGCACCCACATGCACCCACACACATACATGCACACACGCACACATGCACATGCGCACTGACTTGCTGGAGGTGAGTGCGCCATGATGACACGGCGTTGTTGGAATGGCATGTGCACACAAGTGCAGGGACGCAACGATCCCTGCAAACAGCAGAGCGAGCATGGGCAGCGGTGGCAGCAGCCGCAGCACACCTCGTGCACCCCTCACCTGCTGCATCATCACTCTCAAACAAAGAAGCACAGTCGGTCGTGGATGGTGGTGCGCGCAAAACCAAACAAACGCAAAAAGAGGACAGCAGGAGAGCAGGAGGAGAGAAATGACTTGCTTCTTGCTTGCTTGATGTGACAAGAGGGGATATCGTTTGGGTTGCTCCGCTGCTGTTGGTCGTTTGGTCGTTTGGTCGTTTGCTTGCGTGCTTATTGTTCTTGCTTCCTTGCTCGCTCGCTCGCCTGTCTCGTCACCCCCCCCCCCTTCCTCACAGTGTTCTTCTTGGCCGGCTTTCACTTGTTTACCCTCTTCTTAGCTCTCGAACCATCAAACGCGTGAACGCACACGAACGCACAGCACACGTTACACTATGCCACACGTCACACTGCGCCCCACTACACACACGCGCGCACGCACACACACACACAACACGCGCACACACACAGAGCAATGGACGTGGTAGCCTATTGCGTCATGCTCTTCAATGTCATATACACCTGCATGTGGCGGGAAAGTAACACCGCAAGGTCAGATCATGTCAGCACCATCAAAATAAACCAACAGCCCACGCGTGCCACACAACAACACAACCACACAGTCCACACATGCCACACGTGCAACACACACTCGTGCATTCACTGTTTCAACAAGCCTCACGCAGCCAACAGCGATGACACCACCGGCGGTGAAGACAGTCCCTCTGCCCCAACGCACGCACACACACGCACACACGCATGCACACAGCGCATGCACGTTGCGCACCTTTGCTTTGATCCACTCCTTGTCGTGGGGCTTGTAGTTGAGTGTGTCTGGTTGCAGGACGAGACAGCTGAGGTCTGCCAACGCGTCGATGAAGCTGAACAAGTCTGCCACCTCATAGTGGATGTGTGTCTTGGTCGGGTACACCTCGCGCAGATGTGCCTCGTACATTTGGCACACGCCTGTCGTGGTGGTGGTGGTGGTGGTGGTGGTGGTGGTAGAGGCCGGGGGTGATTTGAATGAGCGGGCGGTCGTGACATTGGTGCATGGGGCGCAGAGAGACAGTGTGTGTGTTTGTGTTTCTGTGTGTGTGTGTGTGTGTTTCTGTGTGTTTGTGTGTGTGTGTGTGTGTGTGTGTAGGCGGTCGACCCGTAGGCTAACGGGCTCATGTACCTGTAGTGATAGGCACCGGAGAATGAGAGATCGTTGCTCCATCATGGATCTGGTACGCCAGTCTCAATGCTTTTCGGAAATTCACGTCTCGGGCGCCGTGCACCAACGCAGGGGATTGTAGATATTCTATAATATCTATGGTCGTGTGTGCCCTTTGCGATTACCTCACACTTGGAGCACACGCACAGGTTCCATACCGGAGAGTCTCAGGTCAACGCGACGCATGCGAACCGGGGAAGACCGTCGTCTTTATGGACCATCGGTCCTTTACCTTTTGTGTTACGCCTCTCACAATCGTCCACCTATCTTCCAGTTTCCAGTGTGTGTGTGTGTGTTGTGTGTGTGTGTGTGTGTGTGTGTGTGTGTGTGTGTGTGTGTGTGTGTTTCTGTGTCTGTGTCTGTGTCTGTGTGTGCCTGTGCGTGTGTGTGTGTTTGTGTTTCTGTGTGTGTCTGTGTCTGTGCAATGTGACAGGATCATGCTGGTCGTACAAAGCAGTCAAAGGACGAATGCACAAAACCACACTCACTCACTCACTCGCACAACCACATTCACAAACGCACAACAACACACTCACAAACACAACAACACACACACACACACACCTGTCATGGCCTCCTTGACGTTTTCATAGTCGCTGTATGTTCGCGAGGCCAGGCTCTTGTTGGCCTGAACGAGCAAGATGCAGTGCTGCAAGGAAATGGCAGATCACGGTGGGTGAACAAGCCAAAGTGCTAACAACCCCCTGAGTGACCATACACATGCAATTTCACACACACACACACACACACACACACTCACTCACTCACTCACACCCACTCGCACACACACTCACACTCACACATCACACACACACACACACACACACACACACACACACACACACACACACACACACACACACACACACACACACACACACACACACAACTCACTGGCATGGTGCAGTGTTGTCCTTCCTTCTTGTCGTTCTCTTGCTCGTCCACTGGTCTGTATCTGTCCCTGAATTCAGCCTCCAATAACAAAACGAAACACGGCGCCGACGACAGCACAAAGAGTGTTTAAATTGCTTGCAAGCAATCGTAACAACTGACGAAATCTTACCCACACGTTCGACTTTTTTCTTGCGCCGGGACAGACAGGTCTTGCTTGTGTGCTGCCTTGCTTGCTTGTTGCTTCGCTGTTGTCCTCCCTCCTCTTGCCCCAACTTCTCTCGTCTCACACACGCACGCACACGCCCACACGAAAAACAAACAAAAAGAAAGTGTGGGCGCTGATTTGGCATACGCAAGCTGGCGCACGAGCGAGTCACGACCGCTTCCACTTTCTTTTCTCTCCTCTCGCTCTCTGGCTGGGGTGTGGCGGCTCGCACCTCTTTCTTCTCTCTCAATCACCATCACCATCACCATCACCAGCACCAGCATCATTATCGCATCATCGTCAGCCTCTGGCCGTCACACACGAGTGCACGCACACACACACACACATACACTGAGTTCTTCGACACTCAAACACAACCAATAACAAGCCAAGCCCCACCCTGCCCTTTGGCCCATTGACACCACAACACGCCACACACCATACACAACCACCACCATGACGGATCACCTGCAAACCGCACACGCCGAGCACCACGACGCGCCTATCGGCAGCGCTGGTGGGTTTGCCGTCATGCGCTATGGATACATGATCAAGTCGCCGCCGCTCAAGCGCATCAACCAGCCAACCCTGTGCCGATGGCGTCGCCGCTATTTTATTCTCCGCAAGAACAAGCGCCTGGAGTACTGGTCAGACTCATCACAGAGGTACGCATCTGTCCGTATGTGTGTGCATGTGTCTGTCTGCATGTTTGTCTGTGTGTGTCTGCCTGCATGTATGTCTGTGTGTGCGTGTGTCTGTCTGTGTGCCTGTCTGTGTGCGTTTGTGGCTGTGTCCATCTGTCTGCATGTCTGTGCGCACTTCGGACACACCTTGACAGTGATATGACTCACACGCCAAGTTGGCGTGGCTTATGGAATGCCTCTGCTTGTTGTTTGCACGCACTTTGCCCCCCTTCCAATTCCTTTTTCTTGTTGCCTCCTGCCACCTACAACTTGCGCGCCTTGTCAGGGAACTCAAGGGATGTGTGGATTTGAGAGAGGTTTGGCAGATTGAAGAGGATGTGGACTATCGTGGACAGCCAACTTTCTGGTGAGTTACTGCCCCAACTCCTTTCCATTTCTTCTCCCGCGCCTTTGTCGTCGCCGATGCTATGCCGCAAGCTGGGCTCGCGCTGTTGTTTGTTGCTGGCTCTTCTGCAAGCTTTATGCATGTGCCCCACACGTCAAACCTTGACGGACAGCTTGGCTGATTCAATCACTCATACTCGGCCCCGCCCGCCTTAATCCACATGCACATGCAGCTTGAGCACACACGACCGCAAGTACTTTTTCATCGCTGGCGATGCCTCGGACAAGCGGGCGTGGCTGACGACGATTCGGTGAGTCACATTGTTTGTGTCTGTGTGTGTGTGTGTGTGTGTGTGTGTGTGTGTGTGTGGGTGTGTGGGTGTGGGTGTGGGTGTGTGTCGCCGCTGTACAAAGCGACACGGATGAAGAAAACGCTTTTCGTCTGCTCATGCTGACCCATTCTGTCCGCGTGTGAACGTGCCAACGAACAGGGAGGTGATTGGCAAGAGCACGTCAAAGTCGTCCTCCACGCCAGCGTCTATCAAAGACACATCTGGCACATCACGCTCCTTCAACACCAGCAGCCACAGGGGGCACACCAACGGCAGGCTCAGCGCGGAAGGCGACAAACCACCGCCGCCGCGACGGTTCCTTGGCTCAAACGACTTCGGTGGCAGCGTCGACTATGACTCTGAGGAGGACGAGCAGACCGAGGACACGTTCCAGATGGTGCTCAACCCTCTCCGTAAGTCGCTCTCAACCACCAAGGAGCGTTTTTTTTTTTTTTTTGGGGAGGGGGTTATCTGGAGTTGTGGGCATATCGAAGAAGCGAAGAGCTGTGTGCGTGATGAGCTTTGCAACCCCTTCCCCTTACTTATCACACTCCACTCACGCTGTATCTAAATGCACGCTGACATCCCAGGCGAGGCGGTGGAGCAGACAGACAATGAAGAGAGCAATGAGTTCAAGGCCACATACAACGGCGACCCCATCATCCTGCGCATTGTCTATCCAAACCTGGAAATGTGCAGCCCAGAGACGAAGGTGTGCGGTGTGCAGAGTGTGTGTGTGTGTGTGTGACTCTGCTTGTCGTCACGGTGACCCTCAACCGGCTCTTAAGTAAACGTGCACCTTTTCACCCTTGCCCTTCTCGCTTTTGCTTGATTCTCACACCCGAACACACACCCCCACACACACACACACACACACACTTTGTCTTGTGCTTTCACGCAAATGCAGCGCATGATTCAGTACTGGCCCATCACTGCCTTGCGCGGCTACTCTCAGGACGACACGACCTTCCAAATTGAGGTATGTGTGTGTGTGTGTGTGTGTGTGTGTGTGTGTGTGCGCTCTCTGTTTTTGTGTTGTGATTGGCCTTTGTGCCCTTTCCTCTCTTTCCCTTGCTCCGTAATTTCTCCCTTTGCTTTCCAACCCCTTTGCCTCCCACCCCCCCTTCCTTGTTTCATTGTACTCTTTGCTCGCCTTTTGCTGTTCTCACCCTCGTCTGTATCTGCAGGCTGGTCGGCGGTGCCCTGGAGGGGAGGGCTTCTTCAAGTTTGCCCTCACAGATGGCGGTAACGTCAGTGCAAGCCTTGCTTCCGCCGAAGCCAACCACTCGGTACGTTGTGTGCGTGTGTCGCGGGATAGTGTTCTGCCCTGCCTATCTGCCCGTCTGCCTACGCCAACCCCCACCCCGCAACACCTGTTACTACACTCCTGACGTCTTCTGACATTGCACTTCAAACACCCGACCCCACCCCCCATCCCCGCTCTCCTTATCCTCCTCGTCTTCCCATTCTTGATGCAGATTCGACGAGAAAGCATGTATGGCACCGTTGGCCGTAAATTCTAGCGCACTTGAGCCGCGCTCATGCTGCTGTCACCTGTGTGACTTGTCCTGTCCCAACGGTGTACCGTTGTTCCGGCAGTGTGTGCTCCTCTCGGTTGCTTGCGTGAACTTACGCTTGCCTGTTTCTGAGTTTCTCTTGACCCCCCTTTTGGATAATCGCACACCACCCCACGCGTTGTTTTCCCCAACACTAGCCTCCCAAAGCAACCTTCCCTCTTTGCCCTACGTTTGTCTGTGTTCAGTCTGTGCTGTTGTTGTCGATACTCCATTCCACGATTGCTTGTGTGTCTTTTTTGTGTTGAGTACTGTAACGTGTCGCATGTATTCCACTGTCTCTCGCAGCCCTCCCGTTCCGTTCTTCCCCACCACATACACGCACGGTTGGAAAACGTTCCACTGATAATGACACCACCCCTTGTTCGAGCCCACCCTTGCTTATCTTGGTGTCTTCATGCGTTGCTTGTACTGTGCCCGTGTGTTTGTGTACGTGTGCTTGTTGTTGCCGTGTGTGTGTGCGTGTCGTTTCCACAGTTTTGCCGCCTTTTCATCTGCGTCTTCGTCGTCCTCGTCGTCCTCGTCGCTGCCGTGTGCCGTGCCACTATCCCACGAGCACGAGCTACTAGACGCCACGATCATGCCGGGGTTCGTGCTGCCGTAGTAGGCCACTGGCATCTTGGCTTGGTGCCACTCACCTGGCGCAAGCGTCCTCCTGACCCCTTATCATAACTGTACACTTGTCTGTCTGCGTCTGGTTGTCTGTCGTGTTCTGTCTTTTGTTGTGTGAATTGCTGTGGCGAATGGTTGTGCTTAAAACGCGCTGGCACGTTGTGTGTGTGTGTGTGTGTGTGTTTGTGTTTGTGTTTGTGTTTGTGTGGTTTTGCGTATTCATATGCATCGCCTACGAAGAAGACAACTGGAGTGCTGTTTACAGTGGGCGCCTCATGACCCCAAAGTGAATGAACGTAACAGTGAACAGTGGCAATCCTCGAAAGTCATCCTCAATCAAAGTCGTACATCAAAGTCGTGCTCAAACATGGGCTGCAACATCTTGCAAGTGGTCTGCTGGCCAACGACTGGCGCGTTTTGTTGGCCCACGAAAGACGAAAACCAAAATGCACAAGCAAAGCAAAAGAATGGTTGCTTTGTTCTTTTCCTTGGTTGCGACTTTCACAACTTGCCAATGTACTTGTTCCCTTGCCAAAGTGCTCGCTTCCATCGCTGATATGATGACAGGATGGGCTGGGAGGACAGCATCACTTACACGGTACGATAAGACCCTTGTGTTCTTTGTTCTTGTGTTTTATTTTGTGTTTCGGACTTTGCAAGGCATCCTTCAAAACAGAAGTGCACAAGATCATGATGTCATCACATCATGTTCACTTTGTTGTTGCACAAGGAGAGGATGACACATGTACATACAAAACAACATAATTGTTGCGAACAACCAAAAGTGATGCACTTTCATCCACCCACGCATCCAACCATCCATCCACATCACAGTACCAGCAGCATGTCAAAAGTCTGCATCCCATGGGCAGGATCCGATGACTGGCGGCTCTTCGCGTGGCGTGTATTCGTCAAAGTATCTACGATCAACAGTAATTACAGAACGTGAATACTCGCAAAGAGACACGATGTGCAACGCACATGCATCCAGCTTTACACCCCCCCCCACACACACACACACCACAACACACACACACACACACACACACACACACACACCACACACCACACACATCACAGTACAAACCTGCAGTCTTCGGGTCCATCGAGGGTTGGCACCGTTGGGGCGGGCATCGTTTGTGTCTCCAGTGCTGGCCAGTTGAAGTCCTTGAACCTGCAATGCAGTGAATACAGTGCTGGATGAGAATTTTGGGGGAGGGGAGAGGGTGGCGTGTTGCAGCAAGAGCATCAAAGTGGAATGATGTTTGCAACACGGGAATGGGAAGACGTGGCGAGCTTGCGAATGCTACTCGTCGATCACATACCAGCGGTGGCGCTGAATGGTTTTGATGCCGTCCTTGTCGCACCCCGTGCGCTCACTCGCCGTTTCCCTGCACACACACGAACGTAAGAGAAGGGACAGCAGAGTCAAAGGCATAAAAGAAGACGAGGAAGGAGGAGGCGTAGAACGCATCGTGTGTAAGACATTGTTACAAAGCAGATGAGAAGACCATGAAGAACGGCGGGGGAGGTGGGTCGACCAAGAATACGGAAAGCACGGTGTCATGGATGAGCGAGAAAGCAGTCACCGATTGGTCACAGCCCATAATCATACACATGTATACACAAATCCACACGCACACACGCACACATGCACACACACACACACACGCACACGCACACACACACACACACGCACACACACACATGTTCACCTGCAGAAGCCGAGGATGAGGTCGCGCGCGTCGCCAGAGACGGCGGCGTCAAAGCGTACGTGATCAATACCCAGGATGATCAGATTGTACGTGTCCATGTCATCGTTGCACGCGAATGGGGTCCTGTGGCCGCGAACACGAATTCAGCGAGAAATGTGTACGCGCACGCACGCGTAAAGATGAAGAAGAACACAGTGAGTGGCACATCAGGAACGGACAACCGAACAACCAACGACACAACCAACCAAACACGCTCACATACCTGCCACTGAGCAACTCGTAGGTGAGGACGCCAAGCGCCCAGTAGTCCACACCGCCGTCGTGGCCCTGGTTCATCACAATCTCTGGCGCCATGTACTCGGGTGTCCCGCAAAACGTCCAAGTCTTGGTGCCGCGTGACAGTTTGCGCGCAAAACCAAAGTCAACCTGGCAGCAGCGTGCGTGTGCACGTGTGCATGTATGATTGAGATGACATGTCAGGTCGGCACATGGCCACGGGCTCCAGCCAACACTACGAATGGGCAAACGACTCACACGACACAGTACACGCACACGCACACACGCAGCACACGCACACAGCACACACACACACATACACACAGCACACACACACACACGCAGCACACGCACACAGCACACACACACACACACCAGTTTGACGTAGCCTGTGCTGGTCATCATAATGTTTTCTGGCTTCAGGTCGCGATACACAATCTGCAGAAGCAACAGCAGTTGACATCGGCGAGCGTTTCAGTGACACAAGGCGGTTTCAGTGACACCTTATGGCTATGTTTGTGACCACAGGTTGCAACACACACACATATATACACGTGCACACATGCAGGCCACGCTTACGCTTCTGTTGTGGAGAAAGGAGAACGCCTCAACAACGCAGGCGACGTAAAACTTGGCCGCGTCATCCGAGAACCGCCCGGCAGCCCTGCACATACGCAATTCGCAGCGGTGGCGATGATGATGATGATGATGATGATGATGATGATGATGATGATGATGATGATGATGATGATGATGATGATGATGATGATGATGGTGGTGATGGTGATGGACCAGAGGCTTGTTAGGGCATGGCTGGCTCAAGAGCGTGCGAGTGAGGGCTGTGATTTGTGCACTTGGTGACCATCGATGTTGCACATGTGCACAGCAGGCGTCTTTTCACTGCGCCGCTCACCTCAGGTGTTTCCATAGTTCACCTCCAAGCAGTGCCTTTTTGAATGAGTGGCGGCAGGTGCCGTGAAATACATCCATGAACAAAGCGAGTGAGCAGGCAGTGCATACGTTTGCAAGTAAAATGGTGTGTTGTGCACAATGGTAACAGTCTTCGTTGCCGCGTGTATGCTGCAGCGTGTGTGTTGTTGCAGTGTGCGTGCTGCATGTGATCGCACCTCTGTGAGCATGAAGATGTAGCGCTCATCCTTGAATGTTCGATACAGCGGCGCACAGAACAGCGTATTCAGGCTCTCCATCACCTGACGGGTGCAGAGAACAGCGTGGACACGTGTTAGTGGGTGGCTGAAACATGTGAGCGTGACATGGCGTATGTGCACAAATTGAAGCAGGAAGTGTCACCAATGTCAACATGCAGATCATATTCACACACCACAAGCGTAGCGACACACCCTCTTCTCGCACACGACGTAGTCCTCCTGTCCGTTTTCGATGATGTGCGCTTTTGCAATGGCCTGGCCAGCACACACACACACACACACACACACACACACGACGTATAATGAAAGAAACGTGAACATACAGCAGATCAGTAGCAATGGTGGTCTGCTAGTTAAGGGCGCCGCACATCAGTGGCAAGCAAGATATGGTTTGCGACGACATCCATCCGCAACACGCTGCACCACCACCATCGGCAGCATGGCACAGTTCATGCGAAGCAAAGCCACCTTGAGCGCAAACATGCGGTCCGATTCTGCCTCTCTGACGAGCGTGACCCGTCCAAACGCCCCAACACCAAGGATGCTGATTAGGCGCGCGTGCACGCGTGCGTGCATGGTTAGTTGGTGGCGTCATTGTCACATGGCAAACGTAAGAAACGCAAGCAAGTGAACACGACATGCAACACACACACATACACACACACACAACAACAACAACACACACACACGCGCACACACACACCGCTTGCACACAAACAAACAAACAAACAAACAAACAAACAAATACACAAACAAACAAAACAAACATACAATACAAACAAACATACAAACAAACATCGGCAATGCATGTACCGGCGCTGCTCGAGGCTTTCCAGTGTGATGTGTTTGAATTCCTCTTTGCACTCATTCTTCACACTCTCCTCCTCTTCCTGTCGCACATCTACAGAAACAGCAAGGCAGAAAAGGGACATGGATTTAACACGAATCGCATCAGAGATGCTACACCCACGTACATGTACACAGGCACACACACGCACACACACACACATGTACATGCAGATGAGTACAACGAAACACATGTCATCATGTACAGGTGCGCGCGCTTACCGAGGTAGCTGAGGCGCCCAAGTGCCTCCAGGGGAACAATGTGTTTCAGAAAGGCCTGACGTCAAAAACACACATGATGGAATGCGAAATCGCAATGTCCAGGACCAGAAGTGAGCTAACCGTTGCGCGGAGCAGTCAGGGAGTGCACGCGTGCATGTGTGCACGTGCTTGTGCGCGTGTGATGCATGTCGCGTGCACAGATGTGTTGCTTTTCACACAACACGAAGCATCACATCTGTGCACACAAGCAACATTCTCAACTGCAACACACGAAGGAGTACGCACCTCACGGGAGAGGGACGCGCACGTGACTTCCGTGAGCGCTTTGCACGTCGCCGTGCGAATGTTGTATGCCTCCAGCAGCGCCCCTTCGCCAAAGTGATCGCCTTTGCGCAATGTCCGCAGCTTGATGTTGTCTTGCGTCACAAGAACCTATGGACATGCGAGTGTAGACGTGTGACAATGCGAGTGTGCGTAAATGTGGATGAGTGTGTGATTGTGTGTTGTCGCGTGAATTGTACGTGTTTGTTTGTGTTTGTGTTTGTGTGTGTATGTGTGTGTGTGTGTGTTTGTGTGGGGCTGGGTGCGAATGTGTGTCGGGGGCGCACTTGCATGCAATGCGAATTCATGGTGCCATTTCAAGCAGCAACACGCATTTCATTCCTGCATCCCTAGCCCATGAATTCATATCGCCTGGTACAAGCAGAACTGTAAGAACCAATAGCACCTCACCTGTCCTTCCGTGATGAGATAGAACACATCACCATGTTGCCCTTCCTCTACAATGGCTTCTCCTTGGTCAAACGCAACCTGTCAAGCAAACGCATGTGCACATGCATTGTTTGATTCAACATGACAGCACCGTTGCATCTTTCATCATCAACACTGAATTTATTCACACCGGTCACCGTCACCATCACCACCACCACCGCCACCATTGCCATCATCATCATCATGACCTCCTTTGCGAGGTCGACAATGGTGAGGACGTAGTCGTCGTTGAGTCCACGCAGGAGTGGCATCTGCTGGAACAGCGACAGCAGGCGCTCCCGCTCCTTCAGTTTCGCCTGCAATCGCAGTGGCCACGGGGAGAGTAGGGAGGGAAGGGTTGTGTGTACTTGTGTATGTGTGTATGTGTGTATGTGTGCACGTGTGTATGTGTGCATGTGTGTGTGTGCGTGTACGCGGGTGCAATAGCTGTCGCCAGTGCTTATCGTGTTGGCAACAGCGCAGGGCACGTGCAGTTCTCATGAGAGTTCATACCTCTCGAGCAACAATCTTGAAAGTGTGGCGATCGATGGCGAACACCTTCACTTTTGTTTTCGCTGTCACAATGAGTGGCGTTGAGGAAGAGAGGGAGAAGGGGGGGGGAGATGGTTGGCGCGAACGGCAAAGGGTGAGATGTGCGGAGTTAGCTCCACTCGATGGGCAAAACGCTGCACACAGCCTGGCAATACACACAGACACACACACACACACACAGACACACAGCCTGGCAATACACACAGACACAGACACACACACAGGCACACAGGCACACAGACACATACACACACAGACACACACCAGTGATGGTTGCGGTTCGTGTGCAGTCGTAGAGGAGAGCAAGTTCGCCAATCACGGTGCCGGCCATGATGTCGTTTTGCACATCGCTTGTCGCCGTGGACACCGTCACAATTCCAGCTGCACATGCACATGCATGCATATTCGCGTGAACATTCATTCATGTGCATGTGTGCGTCGAGCACAGACAGGCATCAGGGCGGTGAACAACAGCAAGCACTGTGTCAACAACCACACACACACACACACACACACACACACATCGTGCGTGCAGCACCTGCGATGACATAGAGACATTCGCCGACGTCGCCCTGCTGAATAACGACTTCGCCGGGTGCAATGTCCTGCACGGACATGTGCACAGCCACTTCCCGCTGCTGGGCAAGCGTCAGCTTGGACGTGTACGGATTCGCTTGCAACGCTCGCATGATCAGCGCCCGCGTTCTGAGTGGTTGGAGGGCAGGGTGTAAATTGTGCAATAGGTGTGTCGTGTGTTTGCGTGCGAGTGTGAATGTGCAGCATGAATGTCGTCAGGCATGTGCGGATCGAATCATACACACACAGACACACACATGATGCACACATACATGCGCGCATGCACACAGACACACACACACACATAGACACACATAGACACACACAGACACACACACGCTCACGTGTCGTCGAGCACGCGCGTCTTTGGGATACTGGTTGCCTCCGCTTTCTTTGGTGCGAGCGCAACAACACCACGGCGATGGTGTGCGGGTTCTGTGGAGGCTGCTGCTGTCATGTCGTCATCGCCGCCGCCGCCAGGGAGATCTTTGGCACCAGGGCGCATGTGGTCTGTGCCAAGCGCCGGTGGAGTGTGACCAACGATGTCATCATCAAGGCCTGCCTCTTTGGCTTTTGCACCGGCAGTGATGGACACGTCACGTCGTCGGTGTTGGTCTGCGATGCATCGGAGCTTGTCAACCTGACAGTGGTAGATACAAACAACGAACCGGCGTCCGCGTACATCATCGACAGCAGCAGTCAATGGCCAGAGTGAGCAAAAGGCAGACTTCACACACACACACACGCAAGTGCACACCAATGCACACACACATACACACATACACACAGAGAGAGAGAGATACATGTGCCCATCAGCCTTACCTCTTTCAGGAGGAGCTGGTTGGTCAGCTGTAGGTCAGCCTGCTTCTTCTCAAACTTGCCCACATCTGTCTGTGCCTTGGCCAGCTTGTTGCGCAAGCTTTGAATGGTGTGATTTGCGGCGTCCAAGTCCTTCTGCAGCCTCAGCAGGCGGGACTCGGCCACCAGGCCGTAGTTTGCTGGCTGTGATACCGTGCCTGTCGCTCCATTCACCACTATGTGTATGTGTATGTGCGCGTGCGTGACGTTTGGAGGTGGCATAACCTCACATCACAAGGGGCATTTGTAAGTGGAGTTCCAGCTGCATCTTGTTTGATGTTCAGAAGCACTCACGTACATAGACTCTGCGCATGCAGAAACACACACACACATAAATACACATACACACATAGACACAGACACACATACACACATAGACACAGACACACATACACACATAGACACAGACACACACACACACACACACATAGACACAGACACACATACACACATAGACACAGACACACACACACACAGACACACACACACACACACACACACACACACACACACTCACAGCAATCACCATCTCTGGTCGCACGTACCAGCCCCGTTTGCTTGAGATGCAGCTGCTCCCATTGTGATGCCACTGTGCTTGCTGTTGTCGGAGGTGGTGGTGGATGCCCGTCGTGTTGTTCGTGTGTGGGGATACGCTTGGTGCTGTTGGGGGTTGGCGGTGTCGTCAAGCGACCGAGATCATGGAACCCACCAGCAACAATCAAACTGAGCTACCCTGCTGCAACGCACCGTTGCGTGTGGTCCCATCGGCACAACACAACAGCATTGTGCACGTAAAGGCAGCACCAACACACGCCTGTGTGTGTGCGTGTGCGTGTGCGTGTGCACGTGTGTGTGTTGTGTGTGAACGTGTGTATGTGGATCGGAACAGAGGAACAGCCATCCGCATCCACACTGCCTGCTTCCACTGTCCTTCTTCTTGTCGCATGTCTTGGCTGCAAACTGCAATTTTGTTGCTGTCAAATGTGACAGCCCTTAGCGACCACTGCGTGTGGATATGCTCGCCTGCTGGACTAATGCGTGATAACCGCAAACGCCCAAGCGAGAAACATATACTCCCGCTGGCAAGCAACAAACCAACCAACCAACCAACTGCACTTCAGCAACAACGACGACGACGAAGACAACCAAAACAAGCAGCTGCTCAGCCAGGCTCTCCCCTCCTCGTCGCTCGCTTGTTGCTTGGTTGACAGCAACGCACCGCGTCTTGCTGCTGCTGCTGCTGTCTCGGTTTGCCACTCACCGCACAAAGCACGCATACGCAGTACAACACACGTACATATGGTTGATAAGAAGAAGGGTGCTGTGAAGAAACAGCACCAGCTGAGTACTGCCAGCAACGCATCCATCCACTCCAGATCCCAGCTCATCGCAAAGTCTGGATCAAGGGTACGCCAGCGCTGTGTCTTTCCTTGATTGTGTGCGTTTCTGTGTGTGTTTACGTGTGCGTACGTGTGTGTACGTGTATGTACGTGTGTGTATGCGTGGGCGTGTGAGGACGTGCTTGTGCGTGTGCTTCAATGTGTTGCGGCATGTGTTTTGTTCGGTGTGTCGCCCCAGCATCCTGGGAATTGTGCTGGCACTCACACTCTCCCTCGCTTTGCCCCGCTCACCCCAAACCTTCCTTCTCCTCCCCACCCTTCTTCCTCCCCACAGCTGCAGTCACAATCACGCCATCGCTTGTCGAAGCAAATCAGCGGCAATGAAGGCGATGAGTGGCTGCAGGCCAAGGATCCCGTCAAGCCGCCCAACCAGGTGTGTGCGTGTGTGCGTGTGTGCGTGTGTGCGTGTGTGCGCGTGTGTGCGGGTGTGTGTGTGTGTTTGAGTGTGTGTGTGCGTGGCTGTGTGTGTGTGTGTGTGTTTGCGTGCGCGCGTGCGTGGCTGTCTGTGTGTGTCTGTGTGTATGTATGCGTGTATGTGTCTATGTGTCTGTGTCTGTGTGATTGCTTTGCCACGCGCCTGGCTGCACCTTGTTCCCTCCCACTCCACCTTGTGTGCCATACAAACCCACCACCATCCACGCTGCTGCTGATGCTGTTGCATGCACTACCAGCTGGACCTACCTGATGAGGCCCTGAACGAGGAGATCACACGCATTCTTCGTGCTGACAACCCCAATGCCCCACACAACATCGTCCGCTTCAGCTACAAGGTGTGCATCTGACTGAATGGCTTCGTGGAGTCTTCTTGTTTGGTGGCTGCATGACGCCTTCTTTTGCTTTGCTGTGCCATGCTTAGGTACAAGTCGACACCGCCGTCTTTGCACTTGCACCTCCTCAAATCTTGTTTCATCACCACGCATACACACGCACGCCACCATGTTTTGATTCCACTCGCCTTCAACTGGCCTCCTCCTCACTCTGCTCCGTCAACTACACCTCTCTCTTTCTTTTTTGTTTCGCACGTGCTCAGGATGGCGCGTACAAGCAGATGGCGAGTGTGGACCAGTGTGCGTACCACTATGTCCTCAACGGGACGCTGATCCACAAGGAGAGCGACGAGGCCAAGCGGCAGGTGGCCCGCAGCCGCTTCAAGAGCAAATCTTCAAAGGCAGACGTCTCACAGGGTGCGTTTGCCGCACCAGGGGCAACAGCATGGTGTGGTGTTGAGCTGATGATTTCTCAACCCGCTGTTGTTGTTCTTCGTTGTTCTCTTCTTTTCGCTGGTCTGTGCGTCTGCCCACCACCACGTCCTCACGTCGTCACCACAATCATGCTATCTCTCACACCGCCGATACCACCGCACACGACCACCACCCTGCTGTGGCGCGTGACGAGCAGGGGACGAGGGTAACACGGCGGAAGCAGGCACGTCCACTGCCGATGCGCAGACGGGAGACAACGAGGCAGAGAAGAAGGAGGGTGATGGTGACGGTGAAGGTGATGGTGATGATGGTGATGGTGACGAGAACCAGGAGGAAGAGGAGGAAGAGGAGGAGGAGGATGAGGAGGATGAGGACGATGCTGGTGATGGCGAGCCAGACAAGCCGCTGCGAAACCAGTTCAACTTTAGCGAGCGCGCTGCACAGTGCTTTGCACCAGCACACCGCGACCGTGACACCATGACAGAGGTGCGCTGCTGCCGCCGCTTTGATTTGTGTTGGTGTGTGTGTGTGTGTGTGTGTGTGTGTGTGTGTGTGTGCGCACTTGTCTGTGACGCTCGCTTGTTGAATCACCTCCTCCAGCACTCACCACCAATCACCATCCACGCACCACCAATTTTCAGGCACCACAACGCGAGACGTTCACTGCCAACGCGACGCAGTGGGTCATCTTTGACGCGTACGTTGCCGACCAGGAAAAGCAGCAGGCCGCTAAGACAAAGCGCAGGTCCAGCGGTACAAAACCAGAGCACAAGGTTCGCAATCGCAACGTGTGCGTGCGGTATTTTATTATTATTATTTTTTTTGCGTGCGAATGCGCGTGTGCATGTTTATGTGTGTGTGTGTGTGTGTGTGTGTGTGTGTGTTTGCTCGCTTCACTGCATTGCGTTCTGTTTTCATCAGCACATCCTCACTGCTCGTCGGGTGCGTGTGTTTCCAGGTGTCACACGCGTTGACGCGCGAGCTTGGAGATGACGGTGGCAGTGACTGGATGAATGCAGCAAAGGTGTGTACGCACCACCACGCCACACTTGTACATGTGAACACCAGCTGCTCACACACGCAACGTGTTCACACACTCTCAAACACACACACACACACACACACAACACACACACAACACACAGACTCAAACTCTCAAACGCACACACACACACTCACATGTCCTCGTCTTGGCTCACCCCACCTTGCCTTCATGCGTGTGCAGTTGATTGCGCTGTCGACGGCGAAGAAGATGGAGCGACTGGTGAACCAGAACACGTTCCACGACGTTGCCATGGACTTCAAGTACTGGAACGACCCATCCGACCAGTTCAAGGTCGCAGTCGTATTCGTGGCCATGGCAGTGGTGGTGGGGATATTTGTGGTGCTGTTGTTGCTAGAGCTGTTGCTGGTGGTGGCGGTGGTGGTAGTCAACTGGTGTTTGCACACGCACGTACACATCTGCCAACACATCTTCGCACGCTCACGCACGTACACACCCGTGTGCACTGCATGACCCGTGTTGCCGTCCAATCTCTTGCGTCTTTGCTGCTCCTCGTACGTACCCTTCATTTTCCATCCTTTGGCTCACCACCGCCAGGAGAAGCAAGGGTCGCTGCTGCCGCTGTGGCGCTTCACAAACGAGAAGACCAAGCGCAAGCACGTGACGTGTGTGCGGTGGTGCCCGGAGTACCCCGACCTTGTACTTGTTGGCTACGGGTCGTACGACTACACCAAGCAGACCGACGGCGCCATCTGCGCGTACTCGCTCAAGAACCCGTCCTACCCAGAGTACATCATCCCCGTCAACAGCGGCGTCATGTGCATCGACGTGCACCCAAAGCAGTCGTCACTGGTAGCGGCGGGCATGTACGATGGCTCTGTTGCCGTGTACGACCTGAGTCGCAAGGCCAACAGGGACGAGCCGCTCGTGCGGTCCACGGCCAAGACGGGCAAGCACACGGACCCCGTGTGGAGCGTGGAGTGGCACGAGGACGATGTCGACCAGAACCGCAACTTCTCCTCTGTGTCGTCGGACGGGCGCGTGTCGACGTGGACCATGGTGCAGACGGAGCTCCAGCACACGGACATTATCCGCCTCTCATACGACACAACCAAGAAGCAGCCCGCACAGGTGCGTACGCGGTGCTGTTTAGTGTGGTGTGCGTGCGCGTGTGTGCTCTTGTGTCGTGTCTGTGTATTTGTGTTGTGTGTGTCGTGTTGTGTCGGGTCTTGTATGTGTGTGTTGCCTTCGGTCGGTTTTATTGTGTGTTGTGTTGTGTCGTGTCTTGTGTGTGTTGTTTGTGTTGTGTGTGCACATGTCTTGTGTGTGTGTGTGTGTGTGTGTGTGTGTGGTTTATTGTGTGCAGAGTCATCGGCTGTTGTGTGCGTCCTCCACCCACGATGTCGCCTGATATCTCCATCCAATTGCCTCGTAAACCAACTATGTACAGGGAGCTGAGCCGCTGTTTGGGCTTGGCGCGGGGACGTGCCTGGACTTCAACCAACACCGCGAAAACGTGTTCCTCATTGGCACGGAGGAGGGTGATGTGCACCAGTGCTCCCGCGCCTACACAAGCAAATTCCTCAAGACCTTCAAGGTCGGATACGATGATGGATAGGGGGAGGGAGGTTGTGTGTATTTGCATGTGTGTGTGCATGTCGGTGTCTTTTCTAGTGTTCATGTTCGTGTGTGTGTGTGTGTGTGTGTGTGTGTGTGTGTGTGTGTGTGTGTGGCGCGTGCGTGGTGTTGTTTTGTCGATTTTGTTCGCGGTCTTGCTCTCCACCATTTACCTGACACATTTGCGTGTGTTCTGTGCGGTTGTTGTGTTGCATATGCAGGCACATACAATGGCGGTGTACACGGTGACGTGGAACCCGTTCCATCCGCGCATCTTTGCATCGTGCAGGTGGGTAGTGCAAGCACACACACACACACACACATGGATAAAAAATTCAGACACGTGTTCACGCACCCACACACACGTGTGTTTCACGCACACGCGCATCTTCCCCTCAGCTGCTGCAACCCCTTGCCACTCCCTCACACACGCGTGTGCGTCTCTTGTTTGCAGTGCTGATTGGACGCTGAAGATTTGGGACGACGCGGACGATTCGCCCGTGTTCACATTTGACCTCGGCAATGCCGTCGGCTGCGTGGCCTGGTCGCCCTTCTCCCCCACCGTCTTTGCAGCTGTCACCACCGACGGAAAGGTGCGGCCCAACGCAGCACACGCCTACTGCTGGTCTCAGTACATTTCTTGCCGCATACACGAGACGTTGTCGTTTGCACGCTGCTGTGTGATGTGGCGTTCGACTGTGGCTCTTTTCACACACTTTCATGAGCTCGCCGTCGCACTTTGAAGCCTCCTTTTTGCTTGCTTTCATCCATGCGCACACGCCGCACATTGGTACCCGCTCACCCCGCTTTCTTCTCCAACCACCACCACCACCACCACCACCACCACCACCACCACCACCACCACCACCACCACCACCATGTATGTGCGTGCCCAATTGCCAGATCCACGTGTTTGACTTGCAGCAGAACAAGTACGAGCCCATCTGCCAGCAGCAGGTGACGAAGAAGGCCAAGCTGACCCAGGTTGCCTTCAACAAGAAGGATCCCATCATCATTGTTGGTGACGACAGGGGTGCCTCCTCCACATTCAAGCTCTCTCCAAACTTGCGCAAGGCCCTCATGGTGCGTGCTGCCGCTGTTGCCGCTACTATAGCTCGCTGGTTTGCTTGTTCGTTTGCGTGTTCCATGTGCTCGCACGTGTCTGATGACTCATTTCCCCATGAATATTCCACCCTCTCTCTGTCTCTCTCTGTCTCTCTCTCTTTCTGTCTCTGTCTCTCTCTCTCTCTCTCTCTCTCTCTCTCTCTCTCTCTCTCTCTCTCTCTCTCTCAACGACTCACCTCCTGTTACAACCACCACGGCTACCACCCGTCCCCCTTTTTCTCGCTCCCCCTCGCAGGACAAGAAGAAGAAGACGGCCGAAGAGCTTCTGGAGGCCTTTGATCGCATTCTCGAATCTGTCAAGGAAACGCCGCACACACAGGCACCAGCAAAGACACCCGCTGCCAAGTAACATCATCACATTGCTTGCACATGTGTGTTGTGTTTCGCTTGCAGTGTGTTGGACTTGACGTGAGCTGGTGCCTGTGCGTGTGAAGTGGTGGCGGTTCGCGTGGTTGAAACGTCTGCGTTGCATGAAGACGCAGAATTGTTGTATGCGTCAAGTGTGTGCGTGTGTGCTTGTGTGTGTGTGTGTGTGTGCGTGCGTGTTTGACGGTTCATCTTCTTTTGTGTTGTTGTTCATTTGCTCATTGAACGAGCGGGATCAACATTGCAATCTAATCTGACTTGAAATGGGGGTCAGGCGACAACGTCCGGGGCGGGAGGGGGGAGTGATTGAAGAAGACCACTTGCTTTGGCATTCGACAACCAGCCCCCCCACACACACACGCACACACGCACAAAAGATCTATAATTGGTCGCATGAGGCTGGGTCGATGATGATGATGCGATCTGCGTTAAATGGAATGCCAAACACACGCCCATCCACGCCAACGCCTGCACCGTACCACCGCTGTGCCCCAGAACCAGCCTGCGCAATCTGTGTTGAAGTGTTTGTGCCTGGGTCAATCTCCAACACAGTGAGCGCAGAGTCAGGCACACCATAGATTTTGCCGTTGCCTGCAAGCACGCCGACAGCCCACTGCGGGTCCGCCGTGAATGTGATGGACGTCATGTCGTACGCCAGCGTGTCCGGGTTGATGATGAGCACCGTGGTGGCATATTGCGGGATGCAGTACAGGAGCCCAGTGCCTGCCAGCACCACGTCAGTCCACTTACGAGACGTTCCTTGGAACCCGTTTAAGGATGTTGCATCTGTGGTGTTGGCTTCCGGGTCGACGATGAGTACAGAGGGGCTGGTGGATGGGCAGAAGAACAGGAGACCGTTGTCAGCCTTTGCACCTCCTTCCCATGCGTATCCTAGCAAGGGAAGCGAACCAAGCGTTGTCGTGTCCGCTGTGTTGAGGACGGGGTCAATCACCAACACAGCCTCGAATCTGGCAGGTGCAGCGTAGATCTTGCCGTTGTCCGCCAGAACACCGCCAATCCATTTCCCCAGGCCCTCTGGCAGCCCGCTGATGCTTGTTGTGTCGGTTGTGTTGGTGGCAGGGTCGAAGATGAGCACGGACTGCGAAACGCTCGGAATGCCGTAGATTTTGCCGTTGCCTGCAAGCACCCCGCCCCACCACAGCCCCTGGGAGATTGGGGGTGGGCTGAGCGGGAGGATGTCAAACTCCAGCGTGGCAGTGTCAAACACAAGCACAGATGCAGCCGAGAATGGGATGCCGTACATTTTGCCGTTGCTTGCAAGCACAGCGCTTGTCCACTTGCAGCAAGGCTGACCCAGGCCTGTCGCCGTCGTGATGTCAAGGGTCGTTTCATGGCACACCGGCTCCGCTACTGGCGTTGCCGACGCGTTGTCCAGCACAGCCTGCAGGTGATCCAGCCGTTGCGACAGGCTGTTGAGCCTTGACACAACATCCACACCGTTGAAGAGCACGCGTGTCTGCTGTTGACCGTCGCTCTTGCTGCTACTGCTGGTGTTGATGTGAAAGTTGAAGTTCTCGTCCTCCACAAACACGGCGCCGCCATTACCAGCTGCGCCTGGCTCCTCCTCTTGCTTCTCCTCAGCCACCACACTCACATAGCTGCAGCGACATAGCAGCACAATCACAACGAGAACAACAACAACAGCACGAGTTTGGTATCGTCATGCTCATTCTCGAAATGTCATGGAAGATGTTAACGAACAGGGTAAGGATTTGGCTTGTTGGTGTGTGTTCCAGTCGTGCCATGTCACTCATCATCAAGTCGTGCTTTATTCTTGAAGAAGGAACAGAGGACGATGTGAAGATCGGATACAAACACACCCACACACATATGAGCACACACACATATGAACAGACGCACATATGAACACACACACACACACACACACACACACACACACGCATGAACACGCAAGCACAAGCACAAGGTTCAGAGCTTGGACGTGAATGCGCGCTTGGCGGCGGCCTTGAGTTCCAGTGACGCAATGGAGAGCATGTGAACCTCGTCAGGGCCGTCAGCAATGCGCAAGGCACGAGCGCCCGTGAACATGTACGCGAGAGGGAAGTCGGACGACAGGCCCGCCCCGCCAAACACCTGGATGGCGCGGTCAAGAACACGCTGCGCCGTGCGAGCAACAGCGACCTTTGCCATGGCCACGTGCTTGCGCGCGGCCTTGTTGCCTTGCACATCAATGGCCTTGGCAGCCTGCAGGACCAGCAAGCGGCACTGGTCAATCTCAATGCGCGACAGGGCCACCTTCTCCTGCACCATTCCGTGTCGTGCCAGCCGCTTGCCAAACGTTTCACGCCCAACGGCACGCGCACACATGAGCTCAAATGCGCGCTCACACATTCCAACAGCACGCATGCAATGGTGCAGCCGACCAGGGCCCAGCCTGTGATGTTGCGTGCGTGTATGAGAGTGAGGGAGTGTGTGTGTGTGTGTGTGTGAGAGAGAGAGAGAGTGTGTGTGTGTGTGTGTGAGTGTGTGAGTGAGTGAGTGAGTGAGTGAGTGAGTGAGTGAGTGAGTGAGTGAGTGAGTGAGTGAGTGAGTGTGCACGTGCTTCTGAATTGCGCAGGTGAAGTGCTGTTGTTGACATACAGCAGTAGGCGCCCATGGACGAGGCATGGGGCAAGCTCGCCTGTGCACGCACCTTCCCTGCGCAATCTCAAAGCCACGCCCTTCGCCGAGAATCATATTGTCCCTAGGAACGAGCACGTGGTCAAACTCCATTTCAAAATGCCCGGCAGGGCGGTCATCGTATCCAAACGTCGTCAGCGGACGCACGCGCCGCACCTGCAATGGAAAGTGAGTGAAGGGCGCAAGAAGGGTGGAGTAGGTGGGAATTGTGGGGAGGTGCGTATGGGCAGCATTTAATGTTGCGTGCGTGCGTGTGAGTATGTGTGTGCGTGTCGCGAAGATAGCAGCAATGTTTTGCACACCGCTGCACATGGCAACTCACCCCCTTTGCATCCAGTGGCACGATGATCATGGAGTGCTGCTGGTGCCTGAGAGTCGAGTGCACGCAGATGGGAGGTGGGGATATGGGTTGGGGGATGCAGTGAGTCACGACTGCACACACGCACACACACACACACACACAGTCACACAGTCACACACAGTCACACACACACACACACACACATACGCATATACGCATAGAGCAAGGAACTGTGGCTCGCCTTCCTGCCCTGCTCATCATTCCTTAGACCCTTACTTTGGCCTGCTGGTGTCTGGCGTGCGTCCCATCACAATGGCAAACTTGCACCTGTAAGGTCAGTGCGACGCGTGGTTGGAAGTGCAAAACAACTCAACTCGAGGGAAGGGGAGTTCAGGGCACAGGCAGGCACACACGAGCAGAGTCGCACACGAAGGCAACACACACAAACAAACGAACAAGCACACGCATATGACACACACGAACAACCACATGATACACACGTGCACCCACCCACACCCACCCACACACCCACCCACACACCCACACACACACCCACACACACACACACACACACACACCCGCACACACACACACACACACACACACACACACACACACACCCGCACACACGAGGCATTAACAAGACAAGACAACCAAACAGTGCACGTGGGAGCCACCACCTCGGGCTGCCGGCGCCAGTCGACCACCACTTGCGACCCGTCACAACGTATCCATCGCCGCTCGGGGCACGCGTGATGGTGCATTGCATGTTTGTGGCATCACTGGACGCCACGTCCGGTTCTGTCATGCAGAAGCAGGAGCGAATCCTCCCTTCAAGCAGCGGGGCGAGCCACCTGTCCTTCTGCGCCTTTGTCCCGTACATGTGCAGCACCTCCATGTTGCCCGTGTCCGGTGCGTTGCAGTTGCATGCTTCGGAAGCCAGCAGCGAGCGCCCCATTACCTCCGCAAAGCGCGCGTACTCGAGTTGTGTCATGCCGGACACAGCCGGCAGGAACAAGTTCCAGAGGCCGCGGCGCTTTGCTTCGGTCTTCAGCGCTTCAAGCACTGGGGAGGACTCAACAGCCCAAGGATCCTTGCTTGCAAGCACCTCCGCCTCCCACTTGCGCTCGGACGGGTACACGTGCGATTCCATAAACACGTGCAATGACGCAAGCAAGTGCGCTGTCCTTTCGCTGAGCGGAAACAGTGACACGTCGCGTGGGACTGCCACTGCCTTGAGTCCAACGTCGGCAAGAGCAACGGCGATGGCCTTGCAGTCTGCTGCGTTGGTTGCCGACGCGTTCCCCTGTAGTGATCTCGCATACACGCCCTGCACGGTTGTTCGCGAGAGCCGGAGGGGGGGGGGTGCATGTGCGCATGACAGTGTGTGAATGTGTGAATGTGTGAATGTGTGAATGTGTGTTTGAGTATGAGAATGTGCGCGTGCATGTGCGCGCGTGTTGAGAATGCGCTTCGCAGTTGATTCAGTCATGTGGTGACATCACCCAATCATGGCAATCGCACCCCAAGTTTAAGCACACACACGCAGGTACACACAGACACACACACACACACACAGACACACACACACACACGCACACGCAGGCACACAGAAACACACACAGACACACACAGACATACACAGACACACACAGACACACACACACACACACACATACACGCACTCACACCTGGGCGATGGACGAGAGACGAAGGGCAGAGAGACCAACGAACGCACCCCACGCGTGCGGGCGCGACTCAACACCATATGTACGGAGAAACGTACGCTCGTCGGGAACACCGTCGCACTGAATGCCCTGTAGCCCAGGCAACGCCACCCCCATAATCTCTTGTGCGGGCATGTGGTACTGAAGGCACGCATACGCAAGGTCAGCAACTGGTGGACCCGTGGACGCGAGCTCCCAGTCGAGCACAGCCATCACAGTCAGCTGTCAACAACCATGTGTTGAGGGGGAGGGGGTGGTGTGTGAATGTGTGTGTGTGTGTGTGTGTGTTGTGTGTGTGTGTGCGAGAGAGAGAAATTGTGTGTGTGTGTGCATGCTTGTTTCTTTGTGCGTGTGCGTGTGTGTGTGTGTGTGTGTGTGTGTGTGTGTGTGTGTGTGTGTGTGTGTGTGTGTGTGTGTGTGTGTAGAAGCATCACAAGGATCAAACCAGACAAATGGCCGTGTCCGTGTCCACGCCCACACTCGCCTGCATGCACACATGTACCTTTTCAGGATGGAACACGACATTATCAAGGCGAAAGTCGCCATGGCAGAGCACAAGCTCCTGCTCCCCAATGTGTTTTGCGTGGTGCTCCAGCTGCTCAGCCAGCTGTGCAAACGTGGCGTTTCGTGGCGCTGTCGTGGGTGATGATGAGGATGAGAGGGTGTGGCGGTGGTGAGTTGCAATGAGGAGATGTGGCGTGCAATAAGAAACAACAGAAAGGCGGATACCAAATCCACAGACGGAAGGAAGCATGCTTCTGGGCTGCGGTCAAAGCACAGATACACACAGAGAGATCAAGAGACAGAGACAAGAGGTGATCACAGATGCACAGACACACACAGACACTCTGATAGACAGACGCACACAGCCACACATTCACACACACACATTTTCCACACACACACACGCACACACACGCACACACACGCACACACACACACGCTCACACACGCTCACACACACGCGCTCACACGGGTGCTGACCGAGCTGAGAGGCGAGCTCATACTGCTTGGTCCAGACATGCAGTTGGCGTTGGAAGAAGTTGTGTTTGACAAATGACGATGGAAGCTCAAGCGCATTTAGGGACAGCGAGTGGAGCTGCCTGTTCATAACAACCACCGGCGGTGGTGACGAGTGAGCTGGCGAACAATAAAACACATTGCGTCTGACTAAACCTTAGCTTCTTTCCCCTGCTAACAAAAGCAGCACATGCAGCAAACACAGTGACGGACGCATGCTTCATCAACGCACTTGAGGACGGTTGCCAGCTCGTAGTATACTTTGTGCCGCTGCTTTGGGGTGAGGTCTGGCAGGCTGGGATCGCGGAAGATGGTGCCGTCCACAAACTCCATAATGTAAAACTCTGCGCCAATGACAGACGTGTCCTTGCAGTAGTGGTGCACGCGCGGCACAGGGAAGTGGCACTCTCTCAGCCGTTCCAGCAGCATGAACTCACGGTCAATTTGATGCGCCTTTGGCAGCAAACTTCCAAAAGGCTGTGTGTGGATGCGTATGTGTGGGCGTGTGCGTGCGCGCGCGCGCGTGTGTGTGTGAAGAAGGAAGGAAACACGGGCATGATCCATGGCTAGTCACCACGAGCACACACACACACACACACACACACATATGACACATCCTACACACTCACACACACACACACACACACATCCTGCACACACACACAAACACATCCTGCACACACACACACACACCTTGCGTCGAAGCACGAGTCGCTGCTGTGATGGTTTGAGGGTCAAGATGTAGGTTGGATTGCTTTGTCCGTGGGAGCACTTTTCTGCCTCCAGGCCGCTGACGGCATCGTCACCCCCCACCACCCCATGCTTCACCAAGTACGCACAGAGCTTGCCCTCACTAAGATCGCTGTTGCCACTGCCGCTCATCTCCGTTGCTGTTGCGCTTGGTCCTTGCCTTGTAGAAAATTAAGTGAAGATTTAAGCAATTAATCATCTCATCACACTTGTTGTGTGCTTCTTCTCTCGTTCGTTCTTCATTGTTGTGGTTGGAAATGTAACAGCAAGGGTCAGGCAGGCACAAGGATGAACATGGAAATGTGTGGCACATACAGACACACACACACACAGCCACAGACACACAGCCACAGACACAGACACACACACACACACAGACACAGGATTGATTATGTGCTTGTGGCTGCAGGTGGAGTAGGAGGGAACAAGATCAACCACAAAGGCGAGGAAGAGAGAGACCGAGACAGAGAGCAAACAACGAACGGGCAACTAGAACTGACGACAAACAAAAGCAGGCAAGTACAGCAGCTTAACCGAAGAGAGACGACAAAGGTGCATGGGATGAACGTGTGCATGCGTGTGTACGTGGAGCATCATCACCATCACTTCTTCAACCCAAGCTCCGAGAGAATGCCAAGCGTAACCTGTTGTCCCAGCAAATGGGACGTGGGCGTGGGCGTGAGGTGAGAAGAAGGTAGTGGTGGTTGTACGGAGAAACGGCACGGTGCAGGTGAAAGGCGTGCGAGTGGGGTGCAACAGAAAACAAAAGCACTCAACACATGAACACACACACACACGCACACAACACGCACACGCACACACACACTGACAAACCACACGCCGGCTGTGCACCTTTTCGAGGTTGAGGGTGTAGTAGTGGAGGCCTGGTGCACCCATCTCCAGCAGCTTGCGGCTGAGGTCGGCACCAAACTTGATCGCCACCTGTCGCACAGCCTCCTTGTCATCCTGTGGACACGCGCGCATAGTGGAAGGTAGGTAGGTGCAAGGGGTTGGGGTGTGATGGTGAGGTTGCATTCTTGGTGAACGAAACGCAGGATGTGTTCACATGTGTGTGTTCACATGTGTGTGTTCACATGTGTGTGTTCACATGTGTGTGTGTGTGTGTGTGTGTGTGTGTGTGTGTGTGTGTGTGTGTGTGTGTGTGTGTGTGTGTGTGTGTGTGTAGTACTTACCCCTGCGTCTTCCATCTGCTTGCGGAGGGAGGCCGGCACGCGGCTGCGGCAGAACTTGGTCATGCGCCCAAACCCGCCCTGGTTCTAAAGATTGGCAATGGTGGTGGCAGGGGTGATGGTGATGGTGATGGTGAGGGCGCCATGTTCGTGTGTACGTGTATGTGTATGTATTTGTGTATTTGTGTGTGTGTGTGCCTGTGTGTGTGTGTTGGTTGGTTGGGAGTTGAGATGATCTGACACACACACACACACAGGCACACACAGAGCACACACACACACACACACAGAGCACATATGCACACACATCTTACACGCATCTTACACATGAAACACGAACAAAGGCCATGTGCGCATATGTGGTGGTACCTGGATGCACATGATGCCTGGGACAATGGGTACAGTGATGCCTCGTGCACGGCACGCCTTGACAAACGACTCGTACACGTCTGCGTCAAACACCATCTGCGTGATGATGAGATCCGCGCCGGCGTCAATCTTCTGCTGCAGGTAGTCCATCTCCTTCTCAAAGTCCTGGTCGTCGTGGCAGTGGTGGTGGGTGTTGTGACGTGGGGTGTGGCCACAACAATCCTCAAAGCAGCATCACCACCACCAGCAGAGCTAACCACCACCACCACCACCACCACCACGACATGTCAGCAGCACCAGCAACGTCCTCCTCCCCCTTTCTCTCTCCAACACCACCAACACCACCACCGCCATAACACAAACGCGGCCACTGGCTAGCATGGCCAGACCTCATCTGAGCAGACGTAGATGCCGTCGTCCATCTGGACCATGCGTCCCTTCTCCGTCTCTGTCAGCTCGCGCCCGTCCTCAACCTTCTTGATCATCCCGCAGTGGCCCTCGGGGTACCCTGCTCGCCGCACACGCGCAGCACAACGGCGATGGTGGTGGTGGTGGTGGCGGAATTGAGCGGTGGTGGTGTGGTGGGGCAGGTAGATGCGGACGGCAAGGAGGTAACAAGACAAGGAACAAGGAGAAGCGAGACAAGGCAAAGCAGGGAGCAACACAGCACAATAGACCACAGCACAACTCACTCATTCACACACACACACACACACACACACACACACACACGTACGCAATGGTACCTCCGCGCAGGGCGACGATGTTGCGGATGCCCGCCTTCTTCGCGCCCTCAAGGGCAATGTCAACCTTCTCCTTGTCCATGTTGGTGCTGTGCACGGCAAATGGGGTGTGCGCGAAGCTGTTGAGACGATGGAAAACACACACACACACACACACACACACACACACACACACACACACACACACACACACACACACACACACACACACACGTACCAAGTGAGGTGCATGTTGCTCTCGACCCCAATCTCGTTGTTCATGCGAATGCACAGGTCGAGGGTGAGGTCTGACGTGGAGCCGCCGGCACCCCAGGTCATATCCATGAACAAGCCATCTGTGGGCATGGCGTGCACAATACACATAAGTTTCAGCCGTGCAAGAGGTCATCATTACTGTGCATTGTCCTCCCGCCACATGCAGCCAGACACACTCACACATACGTACACGCAGACACAGTCTCTCAGACACGCAGACACACACACAGTCACACAGTCACACAGTCACACAGTCACACACACACACGCACACACAGAGACACAGACACACACCTTGGGTCTTGTAGCGGCCGATCCTGTCGATGAGCGACTTCACACCATCGTCCGTCTTTGGCGGGAAGTACTCAAAGGAGATGAACTTCTCCTTGGCGTTTTGCTTCGTCGTGATGAGGTCGATAATCTTCTCTCCAGGCATCTTGCTGGTTTGGTAGAGGGTGGCACAACCGAGAAAAGGAGGGACTGGCGTCTGGCGTGTTGACGATGCGTACGTGCGTACGTGCGTACGTGCGTGTGTGTGTGTGTCACAAGAAGCAACAAGTCAGCAACAGCAAGCTCAATAAAGGCTGGAGTACGATGAGTGGAAAATGAGCAAGCAAGCGCGGTCAAGTGCAAATAAACAACAAGCCCAACAGCAACCACAAGCGAACAAGCCAGCCGAGCAAAGCCAGCCAACGAGCAACACCGGTCTCCACTGCACCATCAC